TGCCAAGAATATGTCCTACTTCCTGTGAGTTCATCTCAGCTCTAATATTATCCAGTATTTCCTCCTGTTTTGGATCAGGGGGATGTCTACTGCACATGTCTTCTTCCTCCTGAAAACCTTTCAGAGACTCCCTTTGCTCTGAGGATAGACACCTGATAACTTCTTACCACTTAACATTGTCTGCTGCTGCCTTCTCCCACCCCGCTCACTCAGTCTCTCTCTGCCCCTCACTCACTTCCTTCTAGCACACAGGTCTTCCACCTTCAGTGTCTCCAGTTCATGATGCCTCCAGCTACCCTGTGGACTTGCAAAAGCTGGCCTTTGTGTGGAGAACTCTCCCCCTCCACCTCATTTCCACTCCTACTCATTCCTCAGATACTCTCTCAGTGATTATTTCCTCAGAAATCTTGTCTGGATCTCCAGACTAATTTAGGGTTCCCCAATACATGCTCTTGCAGCACATTCCTTCTAGCACTTATTTTGGTTATGATTATATACTTAATAGCATAAGTATCTAATTGATGTCTGTCTTCTCAGTAGTCTCTCAGCATTGCATCTTGAGCAGCTGGGTCAGCTTCTGGCTTATGGTATCCACTCACAAGGCACTAAGAGAATACTGACTGAATTGAGATGAACACAGAATTTACTGCAATGAAGGCCAGGATTATGGTGCAATAATGGGATGAGAGGAAAGATTAGATAGGAGGATCTCAGAAGGAAGGATTTGGTAAATGAATGTGGTAATATGTTCAAAAAGTAGCTACATTCCATGGTAAGAAATTGTATTACTGACATTGTAGCCACAGTGAATACGAAGGGTAAAAATATTCAGGTACAGAAGTCTAATGGTCATTAGAAATGCTGAAAAGATGCTCAGGAGCAGAGTGGGGGTCAAGGTCATCTGAACCAAGGTGGAAGCCAATCCTAATGAGGATTCAGGGTGAGGAGGAACACAGATCCTTGGGCAGCATTCTAGAGACAAGGGGATGGGAGTCAAAGGGTGCCAGGGAGAGAATAAGAACAACCTCAGCAATGAAAATCAGACTATAGAGTCAAAGAAAGCAAGGAATGGGTTTCCAACAAGACAGGTGGGTCTACCCAAAGCCAAAAGTTGCACAAAATTAAGAAAGACTGAGCTGAGGGTATAGCTCAGTGGTAGAGCACTTGCCTAGCATGTGTGAGGCACTGGGTTCGATTCTTAGCACCACATGTAAATAAATAAAAATAAAGTTCTATCAACAACTAAATTTTTTTTAAAAAAATCCAAAAAAAAATTTCACAACAAGTGAAATGTTCTACTATGTAAGTTAAATACTGCAATGATCCCCTAAGTCCTCTCAGTGTTCATGAAAAACTGTATGTAGGATTTAGGGTTCTTCTGAAATGTGAAAAATGTCATCTTTGATCCAATTACTCTAATTTTTTTTTCAGAGATTAAAAAATAATGCATGAAGAAGTTCCCAGTTATTTTTTCAGGAATTATGTTCTGAAAGTATCCAGATGTTTCTGAAAAATATCCTTTTCCCTCACCTCCCACTGCTCACTCTACAACAGATAAGCTATGGAACCTTTTGTGGTATGTAAGCCATTCTTAAGCCATTCTTTTCTGGTTCATAGATTCACTCTTCCATTGTTAGTTATAAATCATATATATATATATATATATATATATATATATGTAATAAATCATACTTTCTACTCATTAATACAAGTCCTAGGAAATACACAGAGTAAGTTCAGTAATTCTCTTAGAAAGTAACTCCTTCTGTTACGTTAAGAGTAATAGACATATTTTAACATAATAGAAATAAAACACTCCAAAATGGAACAAAAATTTTAATTATATTACTTCCATATTAAAAGGAAAAGAGAAAGGCAGTGTCTGAACACATTTAATATTCAAAATACTTAATTTTACAAAATTAGGGCACAGGGAAAAAAATTCATGTTTCAATACAAAATCATGTATTCGCTACAGCACATCCTTCCAGATTGTCTGATTCTAACTTTTCATTGCCCTTGAGCTATTTTACAACACTGTAAATTGACAGTGATGCAAAATAATTACCTATACATGCAAATTTTGTAAAGCAGTTTCCATTGACTTTTCTCCCCTACTGTGGGAGAAAACAATTTTGTCTCCGGGTGTACATTCACTTCAATATTCCTGATCTATAACCGTGTCTGTTCTTTGGAGTGTCTGTTGACATGTTTGCAACATCTTACCAGCTTCCTCATTTGTAATGAATTAAATGAAATCTTTAGTGCATGTTTATTTTATATCTGGAGGCAGGTCATGACCTGCCATTTCTGAAAATTATCATTTAACAAGGAGTGAGAGAACTTGCCCCATGAATTCAGAGACAACTGAATTCAGAATTCAGTTGACAATCAGCTAGTACTTTTGAGGTACCATCGTCCTGTGTAGAAAATGTTGGCTGCAATCCCAGCTGCTTCAGGCAGAGTTTTGAGAAAAGATTTGCTTCTCGACACATCCCAAACCTCAACTGTCCGGCATCGATCTATATGGGACATCTCGAACACCGTACAAGCAAAACTGACCTCACCTCACACCTCTCTGTTGATTCAGGGAATGAATAAATAAATCAGTGAAAGAAGATGAAACAGTGACAAAAAGTGGAGTTTTTATTTACTCCCATTAGGGCCCAGACAGAGACAGACTCCAGATTACACCAACACCCATCCCTCCAAGTTGTAAATTAATCTTCCTCTTGGATCCAAGTTCCAGAATGCCCATTCACAATCCTGCACTTTACCTCACTCCTCCACCTTTTCCAGGAAATTCTTTCGAGTTACTATTCTCAAAACTGAAAACTTACTATTGAGGCAGGAGTCTATGGTGAGGATCTAATAGCACTGAGGCCCAGAGAGATATGCTGAAGTCAATCACTTTTTTCCAAAGCGCCAGGTCAGGGACCTTGAAGGTATGACTAGGTCAATCAAAGGGAGCCATTCAGACTCGCTGCCTGGTAGGATCAAGTTCACTTATTATTCAGCATTTCTACAGCTCTTAACATTCATTTCTCAGAACCCCTTTTGCCAGAGAGACAAAGGGCAGCCATTTTGCAGTAAAATGACCCCCATTGTCCGGGGCTGCTGATTCACTATTCATCACAATTGCCCTCAATGTTGGCTAAGTGTGCCAAAGCTCCTGAAGTGAAGTCAGAGCCACCAGCCTGGGAGGAGAATCTCCCACTCAGCCAAGGAGGGACAGAGCTGAAAACTTCACTATCCATCCACAGGCACTAATGACAGACTTACTCAAAGGTTAGTTATCAATCATCCTTTCCTACTCATCAATGCTGGCTTTAAGAAATATGCCTGGACATCCTCAATAAGAAATTTTACTTTTTTTTCATAATTCAGACCTAGATACTTATCCCAGCCTGTGTGAAAGCCAGATGATTTTCCTAATCAGCAGGTTCACCTCAAAAAAGGAGAAATGGAGTGGACAGAAAAGGCAGGCCATCCTTAGAAAAAAAAGTCCCAGGCCTGAGAGCGCAGGTAGAAGTGACAGCTCAGAGCCATGGGAACCTGAGAGAGCATTCCAACCCTGCTTGGTGTTTGCACCAACCCTGGTGTCTCCGCATATGTGGGCTAAGCAGGAACACTTGCCTTAGTAGAAATGCCATCCATCACTAATCTCTGACAGGACTCAAGCAGGGACACTTCCCCAGACATCTGTCCTAGGCCTCACAGCCACATCTGTGCAGCTCCACTTTATAACTTGTGTGGTCCTCTTGCATACAGATAGTTTACTTTCCCAAAATCTACTGTCCAGGCCCAGCAGGGCCTCAGACCCATCCTAATGACATGATGCAAATTGGCCAGTCCACAGCAGTCCTGTTCACAAAGGCAGAGCTGAGGGAGTGGAGGCCTCTAGCAGGCTGGTCCCCCCTGGGCATGAGGCTCCCAGATGGTGCCCATTAGACACTCTTACATCCTGGCATTACCTTTACTCTCAGCTGCCCCCATTTCCAGAAAAGCTGCTTCCCCAGAATGGCCACAAATCTGCCCTCTGTCCCATGCCACAGGCAGTCAAGGGCTAGTGAGTGACAGGCTAGGGACTATACGAGGTGACTCTTTGCTCCCATATAGAATAGACACTGTGATGACAATGTGCTCCGGAACTCCCAATAGAATCACAAAGATTCTAGCAGAGAGGTCAATTCCCAGCTAAGTCTTCATCCTGGGCCTTTTCTGCTTCCTTCCCTCAATAATTCACCTACCCAAGAATCAGATTCTACCAGCCAGAAACAGTGGGTGACTCAGAGCAGGAGGCTTATAGTACACATGTAGCTTGGTCCATTCTGGAGAGAATATTCCTGTCTCTAGAGCTCCCAGTAACCTGGAATTGGAAAACACTGGAAAGAGAAGTTTCCTTTTACAGTTCAAATGCAAATTTCAGAACTACCTCTCTGTCTAGTGATAGGACAATGTGATACTGAAGGGCTGCACATAATTCAATGAAATCAGAACCTCAGACCCACCCCAGTTAAGGGTGCAATGGCTATCAGAAATACCCATAATGATACAAAATCAGGAAGTCACACCTGAGTATTAAAGAGTAGCCAGAAGCCCATCTGGCCTACTATGAAAGGAAGAGATAGATGCTTTATTAATATCAATATGGATTTATTGTTCCACAGAAATTTACAAGGTATCGAAAGTTTAGAATACACCAAGAGAAGGGACATGGGAAACCATCCTCTTCACATCTTGTTAAAATGATCTTGTTAGGCCCTTGGACTTGGGCAGCCAGGAAGAAGATGAAAGAGATGCAGGTCATCCCCAAATCATGCTTTTCCACCAATGATCATGACATCTCACATAGTCCAAAGAGTGACCTGAAAACCAAGAGGGTATCTTCCCAGCCCTGGGCTTTGCAATGGTCAAGGAGAGGGGTCTGTCCCTGCCCAAAGGCAGAAAGGGCTCTTGATTGTGACATAATACCTCACACAGTCACTGTGGCCACTTACCTTTACTTTAGGTACCACCCCCCAACCAGGATACCTCCTTTGAATCCAAAGGTCTAGAGTTTGTGCCAAGGCTATCTGGACAGTTCCCTGTCTGTATCCAGGTGGTTTCCCCATTAACGCCACCTCTGTATCCACCTCCTAGAGGAACCATTATTGGGAGAGAGGCCAGCAGAGTCCCTCAAGCCAGCAGCCATAAGTCCCCAAGTCTGGCTGGGAGCCAGGGTTCTGCAGAGACACCTAGGTAATGGACCCCACATGTACAAATAATCATATGGGTGTGGGTGTAGCCTCCACTTCCAGAGAAACTCCTCCCACTAAGTTGAGGCAGCTGCTACACTGTACTATGGAGGGGTGAGGAGGACAGCCAAATGGGATGGAACAGGACAGGTTTTCAGTCCCTCCTCTACAAGTTGCATGATCTCAGACCTCTCGCCCACCAGGCAGGGAGAGATCAAAGCAACAGTGCTGTTGCTATCTGCTAATACGAAGAGATGTGCAGATGTCAGACCAGGGCTTCTCTGCCACCCCCAGCTTGACTGAATGGAATAGAGAAGGGAAGGGTCAACTGATGAGGGACATCATCCTCTAGTGAGTTGACCAGTGTCTTCCCAATAGCACGCTGTCTCTCTTGTGCGCAGTAGGTCCTCAGGTCAGGGGCAAACTCCCACCTCATCTCAAAGCCCACCAAACGGAGACAGCCTCACAGGTGTCACGGAGTCGTTGGCAGTGGGATCCCCAATCTCAGAAGATAGGGTCTAGAAAAGCATGGCTACTGAGAAAATTCACTGCCTTGTATTTTTGAACTGAGGGTGTCTGGCCTGTCTCTCCCTATACTGCTTAATATGGGCTCAGCACAGGAGAGAGGCCAGCATTTGCAGGCCTGGCCCCAGACACAATAATTTTGGAAGGACTCATTCTTTTTCTTTCTTTCTTTCTTTTAAGTAAGCATTTCTCTGAAGAGCTCTGGTTATTGAGATCACACTTTCTCCAGTATAATTAACACTTTTCTCTACACTGTGATTCCCCTGTCTGTATCACTACCTCAGGAACTAGTCCTCCTACACACAAGGTGTGTGTGTGTGTATATGTTTAGTAAAGGAAGAGGGAGGAGAAGAATGGGATGGCCAATAATAGTAAAATCATTGCTGTTTTGTTTGGGCCTCCAGTGGGCAAGGTGTGTGCCTTGGATGCATCCCTGTCTGGCCAGTGGGAACCCAACATTAAACAAGGATGAGGAACTAAAAAACCCCAATGCTGAGGGATTGCCCCCTGCCAAAATTTTGGATTCTCTCTTGACTATGTTTGCCTATCCAACACATCTTGGAATTTCAAACCCAATTATGCCCCTTACTTGAAAATCCAAGTTACAAATTAGATAGATATATACACTTTGGAAAATTATTAGGATCTGCTAGGCTGCTACAGTTCTGCTCTGGGGTAGATGGAAATGCATACATGTGACCACAGAAGGGGCACGTACAAGAATGTTCTGAGCAGCATGGATATGGATGAATCTCACATTCAGGTTACACACACACACACACAAACACACACACACACACACTATATATATATATATATATATATATATATTTTTTTTTTTTTTTAATTTTATTCATCACAGGATGAATTTCAAACTTATGCTGGTAGAAGGGGAAACAGTAGCCATTCTTAGCGGGTGTTTAGTTTGTGAAGTTCATCAAGGTATACACGTATGCTAGTTATATATATAACTTCAAAAGCAGTTTTAAAGAAAGTAACAAAATGAATCATGTTCTTTCTGCACTGAAACCATCCTTGTCACTTCCTATTTGGGTTGAAAATAGAAAAGGCAGCAGGAAAATGTTACAGCAGCTCAGGCTCTTATAAAATCGACTGAAAGTAAAATCAACGGAAGCAAGATGCAAGCCCAGGCTTAAATCAGAAGGCAAAGTGGAGGTTGGGAGGGATTTGAGGATGAGGAGGCAAAACCAAGAGTCCTTCCCATGTGAAAGCTATACATCTCTCCTGTCCAATTTTTCTCTCATTGGGGCAAATTACAACCCATCTGAATTCAGCCACATGTTAATGCTCATGTAGTCAACCCTTTGATTACAATGCATGTGTTGGCACATGACCAGAGACCAAGTGCAGTTGTCCCCTGGGATTCATGGGGGATTGGTTTCAGGACCCCTTGCAGACAAAAGTCCATGCTGTGCAAGTCCTTTATATAAAATCACACCATCTTTGCATATAACCTAGACACATCCTGCCATATACTTTAAGTTATCTCTGGATTGCTTAAAATACCTAATACAATGTACCTCTGTGTAAAGTAGTTGTAATACTGTATTGTTTGGGGAATAATGACAGTAATATAGTCTGCACATGTTCAGTACAGACATATATTTTTTTTTTTTTTGCTGAATATTTTCGATCACAGTTGAATGCGCAGATGCAGACTGATAGGCCAGGTGTACTATGTAAGAACATATGAGAGATCAAGTTTGTGCCCCCAATTCAGGCCTGGATCTGCTGAATTGGGGGCACAAATCACATCTCAGAGAGACTGATGCCAGGCTGAGAAGACATGCAACATGAACAGATGTTGACCCCAGAGAGCACGGCTTCCTGTAATTTTACAGCGACCCCAGACCAGGCTTCTCAAAAGGTAATTCTCATGAAATCCCTTTTCAGGATGACTTGCAGATGTCAGAAAGGATAAAGGCAGGCAGCTGAGACAAGAGAGGAGTAGATGGTGCTGCTGGCTAGCCTCATCCAGACCCTGGCTACTCTCTCCATCCACCACCACACCTTGAACAGAGCCTGCCTGGCCAGCAGCAGCAGACATTCAGGGTCTCCGTCTCCCATCAGCCCTTTCCACGGCAGCAAGAACTTCACTTTGGGAGGTAAAAGAAAATGGATGAACATCTGCAGCTTCTGAAACTGCAGGGGAAATGAATGAACATCTGCAGTCTCTACACTTAACATTTAAAGAATTCTCAGGAAAAGTGACACAGGGACAATGGAACAACTGCCCTCTGTTTTAGAGAACTGAGCTCATAAAAAGTCAACATACTTTTGCCATCATTTCTCCTCATCCGCATTTCAGACCAAGTGCTATATAATGAATACAAAAGTTAATTGCAGGATTTAGAAGGATCTGGAGCCTAGGAAGCTTTACTGTACAGGGGAGAACAGGAAAATTACCAGCTCAAGTCCTTTAAAAAAATTATGTTTATAAGTGTGCAGGCACTAAGCTATCTGCTATCCCTGCTATGATTTGGATATGAGTTGTCCCCCAAGGGTGTATGTGCTGGAGGCTTGGTCAATAGTGCAGCAATGCTGGGAGATGGTGGGACCTTTATGAGGTGGGACCATAGTGGGAAGTAGTTTGGTAATTGAAAGCACAGCCCCCAGAAGGGATTAATGTAGTTCCTTAAAGGCTCTGCTGGACTGGATTATTATCAAAAGAGCAAGACTGCCCCTCTCCACTCTCAGGCTTCTTTTCTTGATATCTGTTCTCTCCTTACCATGATCTTATGCAGCCTAGAGGGCCAGAGCTAGTACTATGCTACTTAGACTTTCAGCCTCCAAAGCTTTAAGTTTAAAAACAATATTTTTCTTTATACATTACCCAGTCTCAAGTATTTCCTCATAGCAACAGAAAACAGACCTCAAGGGTCACTCCTCCCTCCTCTCCACAAATGCATCCTTGGTCTGTCTCTGGGTCTTCTGTCACAGACAATTACCTTTCAATATGTCCTAGATGTTCATTTTAGGTTTTTTCTTATATATAAAAAAATGTGAGGTTGCGAATAGAAGTGTACAACAAAAACATGAACTGGTCTATCAACCCCTAGGAAAAGATGGAGACTCCATGCTTCTCCAAGGAGCTCCCCCTCAGTCATTTTGTGGCATTAACCACCTCAATCATTATCAATACCTACATTCACTCTCAAAATCACAACACTCTCCTCTATCATAGTATATACCTGTTTTTTTTCTCTCCATGAGGAAACAAAAGGATTTTTTTCTGTAACACTCCATTTATACCATGCACAATACTGATGGCAAATACCCATACTGGTTTGAATTCTGAACTAACCAACAGAGTCTGGTTCCTAGATCAACTTCTTCAGTATATGGAGCCCCCGAAATAACTTGTATTTGTTAAGAGTGAGCAGCTATAAAAAGAAAGCCAAAACACCTGGTGGTGTTTCAAATGAGGTCAATTGTGCAATGCTTTCTCCATCTGCAAATGGAAATCCATTCATTTAAAAGCTAATTTTCAAACTACTTTCCCCTGAAAAGTAACTTGCTATAGGCTGCAGGGATGTGGAAGCATCTGAGATCCACAACCTCTATAAAGAGATTTCAATATGAGAAAGTAAATAACTAATCTGGTGATCACATCACTTGATGTTACCCAGAGAAACTGCCTTCACATATATGCACTAAGAACTATATACAAGAATGTTCAATGCCAGCACCATCTGTGATTGGAATAATAATAAAAACATTTCAAATGTCCAACATGATAGAAGAGCTAAAAAGCAAAACAATCTCTACTATATCTATATGCATGAAGCAGTAGTCAGAGAGAAAAACAGAAACCACAGTAGGTATTTCAAACAGAAGGAATTTAATACAGGAAATTGGTTTCGTAAGGGACAGCAAAGTCAAAGGGGATGGTGAAGCATGCCAGAGATTAGCAAAGGGAGGGAACTATCGGTATCTCTAGGGTGAGAGGGGCAAAGGCTAATACGAGAGATCAGGAGTCAGACCATGAAGGGTGGGACTGTCCAGTATAACAGAGTCACAACCACTTCCAGAGATGTTGCCTGAAGTAGAGTAGCAGGGGAAGGGAAGGGGATGAGAAGCAGACACCCTTCTTTCTTGCTCTCGCTTCTCCTGTACTTCCTGTTGACTATTCCTTCCTGGAAACCAGAAGTCAAGGTAGCTGGGGAATATAGCTCCATGGGATAAGAGCAGGCAGGAGAAGGGTGAAGGACATATCTGAGAGTGTCCTTCATATCCTGAAAAATGATTCTAACATCAAAAATGAGGAAGTAGATTGATCTTTGGAAAAAGAAGATACAGAATGAGACTGCCATCATCCAAGCACAATGAAATACCACGTTTACTATAGATAAATAAAAATGTATATAAACTAGGGCTCACACCCCGTTGATTAGGATATGGCTTCTAGATAGAGGTGTAGCTATTGGGGATAGGGCCAGGGATGCTCAAAGAGAACATAAAGCATTATCTGTGATGTCTTCAATCTTCACAGGCAGGAAGTAAGTCATAAGTTACTTTGTGAGTAAGTTCTGAGTTTCTAACATACAGCATCAATATTATAGTTTATAATACTGTATTGTTTACATGACATTGGATAAAAGAGTAGGTTAAAAGTGTCTTCACAACAAACACACACACACAAGCAGGTTTAAAGTGTCTTCACAACAAACACACACACACACACACACACACACGCAGGAACACACCCCCCAACAAATGGTAAATATAGGGAGTGATGGATGTGTGTTCATTAATATGACTATGACAATCAGTATGCGATGCATACATATATCAAATCATCCCATTGTATATCCTGAATGTATACAACCTATATTTGTCAATTATTTTAAAATAAGAAAATTGGAAAGTGAGTGTCCAAGCCACCTCTGATATGTGTTGCATCCCAACTCTGCCAGTCAGAGCAAGTGCTACCCCTCCATGTCAATTTCTAGGGTGATTCACAGGTGGCCTGAGAGCCTCTTTCTTGCCCACGCCTATCTTTCTACTCAACTCTATTCTTCCATGACAGGGACTATGTCTTATTTATCTCTACATGGTATCAATTGAGAGTGGCTCTCCCATAAAAGTCTACCTACCTATATCAAATTAAGTGAAGAATAAGTTTCACAAAAGAAAAAAATGATCAGTAACTAGAGTAAGGGGTCAAGGACACAGAAGCTGAATTACTCCACGAAAGAGCGACTGGATGAAATGACTGAGAACCTGCCAGTCTGCAAGCACCTCACACATGTTGAAAGGATGAGTGAAACTGTTTCTTCACTTGGCTTGTCACCCAGCATACATTCTGTCAAGTTCATTTACACTCCCTATGTTTCTCTCCCCTAAGGTCTGGGGAGTGAGCTCTGCATCTCTGAGGCAGGCTACAGCTGAATGCTGAATGCCCAAGCTGTGAACAGACGTTCAGCTGGAGAATACACCTGACAAGCACAGCACCGCTTCAGGGAGCCCAAAACAGCCCGTGGGATGTGATGGATGGTCAGGGAGGAGGGTACTTGGGGCATGAGAATCCAGGTATGTCAGGGGTTCGGAAGATGCAGGTACTAGGGACACGGTCTGGACCTCAGGGAAGATGAGGTGAGAGCATAGACATGAGACAGCTGTGAGAAACACCGTGAAGGAGAAAGAACAAAGATCCAGCTTCCTAGATTGTTATGGTTGGGATGTGAAGTGTCTCCCAAAGCTCACGTGGGAGACACTGCAAGAAGGTTCAGAGGAGAGATGATTGGGTGGTGAGAGTCTTAACCCAATCAGTGAATTAATCACCTGATGGTATTAATTGAGTGGTCACTGAAGACAGGTGGGGTGTGGCTGGAGGAGGTGGGGCACTAGGGGCATGGATTTGGGGTATATATTTGTATCTGGTGAATGGAGTCTCTCTCTCTCTCTCTCTCTCTCTCTCTCTCT